GAGCTATCCTGCGTCCATGCTAGGAGCTACTTGTAGGTAGTAGCCACTTCTCCCTACTAGCTACCCTGGTATTAGCTACCCTATCCCCTTTAGTGCGGTGGGGGGAGGGCTTCCTTGAAGAAGCGTGAGCTATCCTGCGTCCTGCCAGGAGCTACTTGTAGGTAGCAGCCACCTCTCCCTACTAGCTACCCTGGTATTAGATACCCTACCCTGGCCCTTTAGTGCCGCGGGAGGAGGGCTTCCTTGAAGACGCGTGAGCTATCCTGCGTCCATGCTAGGAGCTACTTGTAGGTAGTGGCCACCTCTCCCTACTTGCCACCTACCTACCTACTACGGCCTCCCCGCGACTATGTGACTAATGCCTTTTGGGGATTCTTTGCATCACTCTGAGATACTATTCCTTCGGATATTGTATCGTAGTGTTTTACAATGGAGTGCCGCCCTGGCCTTTCAGAGTACTCAATTGTATACAAGGGCTGAGGTGACACCATTAGACAGGGAAATAGTGAAAACGCGTTTTTGCTTCCATTTTGGCGATAGAGATGTTTGAGCTTACAAAAGAGCGCTGAAATAACCAGCTGATGAATGAGTTGAAAAGGAGGGGAGTCAGAGAGGAGTTCACTAGGAAGATCTGGAATGAGTTTCTGTTGCAGACATGGGGACAAGGAACCAACCACAACAAAGGCTTGAATTTGACAATCCACGCGCCAAACCTATAGTAAGATATAGTAAGCACTTTTTTCCAGGACACCTTCGATGGGGTAAGACTTGTTTGGGAAGTGGCACATTCTTTCTCACGACTGGGGAATCACAGTGAATTTGCACAGCTTGGTGAGTTCTTACACGGCATTGCACCATGATTTGTCTCGAGATTAGTTTCGTTCTCCTCTGTAATTAGTGCTACTTTGATGTTGGACTGAACTGTACAGTAGCAGCATCTTTGTAGCTAAAGGGTGCATGACTTGGAAACGGGAGAAACAATTCCTTTGCACCCTTGGATTTCTGCAATCGATTTACAAATTGACAAAAGCTTGAACAACGCAGCTGAGGACAACTCTATGTTTTTTCATTTTCTGCGATCTTTGGAGCTGGCTCTCTTGGAGCGCGGTGAGCACTTGCCTGACCTCGCAGAGGATGTAGCACCCCGCCTACGTGTGAAGCCACTGGTGACAAAGACTGCGACTGTGCCTGCGCCTCTTCCTGTGGAATGGCTGGAGCAGGAGCAGCAGTCAGGGTCTAAGCAAGGAAAGCCGCGCAGCCAGAAGCAAGCTCCACCACCTCCTCCACAAGGACAAGTTACAGTGCCGCCCATGGAATCAGCAAAGCCTCAAGCTGACACGGACAAAGACAATGCAGCTGCAGACTCATCATCGTCCGCTTCAGAGGGCGATACAGAGACAGCAGAAGCAAAGGCAGCTCAAAGAAAGGTAGATGCTGCTGCATTGGATGCCGTGTATGAGCTTTGTGCAGCTCCCCTGGCATGTTGTTAATCGGATTGTTCCTATGGTTTCTGATTTTTAAGAAGACACTTGCAGTATCTGCCGAGGCGCAACGAGAACGTCCTTGCCATATGGATGGTTTGCTTCACGCAGAGAACTTCAGGCCACGTGAACAATGCAGGTGGAAGGAATGCTTGGACTGTTTGGGTTTGAAGGATGTTATTATTCCAATTCAGCGAGGCAATTCGTCCACGATATGCTACGAATTGCCACGCAGCCACGACACTGGGAGGAAGCTGGGGACCCCAAGCCGGAAACAGCAAAGACAAGGAAACAGAAGAGCTCATGAGAGCAATTTAGGGATTCTTTGCAAGTTGCCCAGGCCTGGAGAAGAACAAGTTTTCCGCAAGACCTGCGGCCAGAGGCTGGGAAGCAGCACCACAAGCCAAATACTATAGGTCAACAAACCCTGCATCTTCTGATCGACGGCAGCTGCTTCGTGGCCGGCACTCTTCGCACATCATGATGATGATGATGATGATGATGCTGTGTCACCAGTTCCCGTTGTAGGCGACTCGTTCCTTCTTGCAATGCTCTATGGAGTTTGCGTGTGCTCAATCTGAAGCTAAAGATCCAGCCGCACTTGCCCGCACCCCAAGATACAGATGAAGTACCCGCCTAAGCTTTGTTTATGAAGTTCTAAAGTACTGCAGTGAGGTTTCAGCCTCTGCCCTTGGAATTGCAGCGCTTTCCCGGAGTCTTCTCATCAAGAGGCAATTGGTAGAAGAGCCTTACTCGCATCATGGTACGACCAGACTCAGATGTATGCAGCAGCATGTATGTATTTGCAGTTTTCCTTTATGTATTGGTTATTGCTTGCTTGGTCAGAGTCAGAGTATCAGGACCCATACATTTGGCCACTGCCAGACAGCGGGCCACATTTGGACATCATGGCTAAGGGCCAGAAGTATTGTTCTAGAGCATTTCCTCCGTCCCGACCTGGTCCACCCCAATGCCAACTTTGATTCACAATTGGTGACTCTTCCGTTTCTGGACATCCAACGATTTATGCTGCAAATTCACCACACACTTCAGAACAGGACTCTGGTTGCAATGGGAGTTTCGACGCAATTCCCAGGAATTCTTTTTGGAGAAAATGGACGATGACCCGCTTGTATGGGAGATTTTGCCGGGTCGCCCCAGACACAGACATGATGTCACCACATCATCCCGACACAATGATATCACATTATTCGCATCACACCACATCATAGGCATAGGTCTTTTTCCCCAAACAGGTTTACCTGTGAGGGGTTCTTACTCCTTTTAAAGGGGTGCATGCTCGGGCCGGATGATTTTGAGTTTGTCTCCGGGCTTGTGTTCCTGGCCGCATGATTTCACCCTTGTCTCCCACTTGTCTCCCACTTGTCTCCCAGTAAGCTCTGGATGCTTCTCAGTGCTCTGGCCGCATGATTTTATACTTGTCTCCCATTTGTCTCCCACTTGTCTCCCAGTTGTCTCCCAGTAAGCTCTCGATGCTCTCAGTGCTCGGCCGCATGATTTCAGGCTTGTCTCCCATTTGTCTCCCACTTGTCTCCCAG